CCGGCTGTGGACCAATGGATTCTTTATGTGCACATTCGTACTTACTTTCATAACTATGTTATAATGAAAGAAACAGAATCATCGCTTTATTAAATAATAAATTCAGATGTCATTATATTTAAAAAAATACTTACTGCTGAGTATTAGCGTGATGAGCGTACTTTAAAAATAATAATAACTTCTTTATTTCAGATTAATCCACTTGTAGTTTAATTAGAATTAGTAACAATTCGGTCTTAGTTGCTATGTTAGTATTGGCTCACATTCACTCACTCCACTCTGCGACTCCAAAACTTTGTTAGTATTGACTAGTAAACAACAACCAATAACAATAATGTATTTGAATAGTTCCAGAAAATCTGACCTTTCGTGTATCAGTGAAATATACCTGACGTTATTTTCCTTTCCTTTCGATTCCTTTGTTTACCTTTATTCTATGTTCTATTGAAACTATGTATAATTTCTAATAAGTAAATATTGCTGCGCTTCAATCCATCACTTATGTCACCCATAACCCCCACGGGACACGTTCCTCTACCTGATTATTACATCCTAGATAATATATAAATAAATAAAAATAAATCAGTGGCGCTACATCCTCTTTAGGTTTTGACCTCAGATTTCTGAATCTGTTTCATGAGTGCCTGACACACGCCGTCGACTTTTTGGGTCTAAGACATGTCGGTTTCCTCACGATGTTTTCCTTCACCGTTCGAGCTAATGTTAAATGCGCACATAGGAAGAAAGTCCATTGGTGCACAGCCGGGATTGAACCTACGACCTCAGGTATGAGAGTCGCACGCTGAAGCCTCTAGGCCAACACTGCTCTAAAGTATATAAAATCTATAATTGTATGATACTTAACACGAAACAAATATTCTTACGAATACGGTAAATCAACCACTGGAGACTCGTATATTAAAATACATGAAAGTTTGTTATTAAAATTAAAGGAGGTAATTTAAAATACCAACGTCGTAAAGTAATCCATGCAATCTGGCGTGGCCATAACTTTGCATCGGCAGCCTGCATCGCAGCCTTTGCCAAGATTCGGGCTGCATCGATTTATGTTACATTTTCATATTAGTAAACTAGACTTTTATTAATAAATATAGATGTATGAACCTGTTAGAGAATATAGTAATATTCTAAATTTACAGTGATATTATTTTAGTAGTTATATATGAAGAATATTTACAGCACAATACAGAAATAGATGTATATATATAACATTGTGGGCCAATTAAAAATTTTCACATACTTATAGTTTTTTTATAAAAAGAAAAAACTAAATTTAATTAGTTGACATTAAATGGTTATGAATGTACTTCATTCATGATGATCGAAATTATCTTGTGTCAAATCTCTCCTTGCTGTCACCACACTCGTGGCGAACATATCAATGTCAATAGTTAACTCATTAAATCTGTTTGCTACTCTAACCATAAAGTTGCTCCCCCTGTAATTGGTATTTGTAATAGGTTCATGTGTCTCAGAGTTTTGTTATATGTACTTAGGTTTATTTTGCTTAACAGCTCGGTACAATCGACCGTACCAGTAGCTATTTTCATTAGGTAGACCGTGTGTTCCTCACGTAACTCCCTACTGTGTTAATGTTATGGTAAAATTGTTACATCTATTTCGTGATCATTAATTTTTTCTAATAGGCTAGGTGAACAGCTTTCTGTGCCTGAGTTTCTGGGCGACTGTAACGCACATAGAAAGTTTTGTGTACAGCCGGGGTTCGAACTTACAACTTCGGGAATGCGAGCATGGTGAAGCCACTAACACTGCCTCCGGGGGAATGCAGTAGTGTGTTTTTTGCATTAAACTTTTTATTCAAAAGACACTAATTTACACTCTTAACCTACAAAGTAATAATAGTAACTAAAAATTAGTAAATAGAAAACAAAAATATCAATGTTCAGCCGCCTTATGAACTGCAAATACAATATATTCGTCAAAATATCGTTCTTAAAACCAGAACTAAACTACTTATTAAACTAACTGGAATGCGATTATATATACTTATTGTTATATTAGAATAAAGAATAATGAAGATGGATGGATATATTAGTTAGCACAAGAGCTGGTGACTTTAGTAAAGTCCATGCCAAGGAAAAAAGTAGATCAAAATATTCTACAACTAGTTCAGTTCCGAAGAGAGATCTAATACATAGTGTCTGGACTAGAAACAGTTGAAATCTGTTGTGAATCCCCAAATTATTAGTTCATGTCTTAAGTATGGGTTATTATCCTATATATTCTAGGTGAGGTAGGGCTTCGACAGTGCTTTGCCATCGCATTCAATCCTGAGCTACTCTTCCTTTGGCTATAACTGAGTGCCAAATTTAATTTTAATTACATTTGAACCTGTAAACACGTTTTTGATTCAACATCGTTATATAGAACATAACCATTGAACTGCAAATAGCTTCGACGTGCCAAATTAAAAGGTCATTGACCAGAAAATTGGAGTTTCCCGAACCTGCAGGAACTTTGATTAATGTTATCAAGGACGTTATCAGGCCCGGAGATTCGGGTCAACCCTTCGGTAAAAAAAATTATCCCGGTAATTACGTTTGTTTATATTTTAACTTTTACCGTTTTGGCAATATTTATCTTTTTGGGTTATTTAAAGGATGGTATCGCCTACCTCGGGGATTCAACATAATTAATTTTTCTTTTATTAGGGATTTTTTAAATACGGTGAAATAAATGTTGTCTATTGAATGAATTGTGAAAGACGCGTCCATGAGTCATTCAAGCAAAAGCGTGTGCTATTTTGATTTACATATGTTAATAAAAAGCAGTGCATAATTTATAAATGATAGCTTTATGTATGCATTTCACAACAATTTTTTTAACTTAGTCAAAATTCACGTTATGCGATCGCGCAATTCTCTTAAAAAGGCATACAAAGTTTTCGCCTTTAAAATGTTGTCCGCGAGTTTAAATATAGACATCATAATTGATTGTTCTCTTGTTTCAAGCAGTTGTTATTTCTTATGTAATATGCTACTCATAAGATTATCAGCCTTCGATTTTCGTTTGTTTAGTTATATACGTGTCTTATGAATAATATATGTTGAAGCAACAGCATTACTCTCAGCTGCCATTGTCATTATGTCACAGAGCTTATAAATATACAACGACAAGTCAAATAATTTTAACACAGTTAATATTTTTTATGCATTTATATATTTTGCAATATTTGCCAATGTTGTAATTTTCTAAAACATACAACTATTCGAAAGTCGATAGTAGTAGTGATTTTATCAGTCAGTCATTATTACTATCGGCCATTGAATAGTCGTTAATTCATAGATGTAGCTATATTAGCAAACCAAATAAAACACTAGTATTAGCAGTTTTGATCTTTGATGTTGTGAATTTATAAGCTCTTTGACATAAAGACAAAGACAGTGACAGTAACGCCGTTGCTTCGAGAAATACAGGTTGGCCAAAAAGTCGTGGATCAAACGCAAATAGGGGATAGATGAGGTCATCAGCTGCAAAAAATTGTTCTACGGGAGGTCTCTAAGCTCAACCCCAGCAGAGTTATAATTTATTTTGCGTTTTATAAGAAAATTGACTTTTTTTTACTAATTCTTATTAAAATTCGAAAAAATCTGAAGAATGTATAAAAGGCATTTAACTTCTTGCTTTCAAATTATTATATTACTTCGTTTATATTATCTATATATTATTAATAATATATAAATAAATGTAAACTAATTAATTAAACTTTTTTTAATAATTGATCCTATCCTTATTATATTTAATATTACTTTATCTATATTCTATTTCTTATTTCTAATCTAATTCCTGTTTAGCAAGGACCCCATATTAGGCAACGGCCTTTTCAACACCCATTTGTCAAGGTTGTGTAATTTTTGGCTCCAGTTTTAAACAACCTTTTGACCTCATCTTCCTATCTAGTCACTGGTCTTCCTCTACCTCTAGTTCCTTGAGCCTTTTCACCTTGCCTTTATTGTCTACCGGTCAGAGCCTAACTCTGTGGCCAGCCCATTTCCAGTGACAACGACCAATATAATGATTCCATATTTAAATCATCTAATTAGGAAACATAACATGAAGGAACACATCAATAACAATTCATCACGGCTTTCGTCAACTTCACTAATCAAATAGCGTTGACATTTCATTTCAACCTGTCCAAATATAAAACCATGACCAATTGCCTCACCTAAAGCACAGTGTAATGGGATCAGTTGGTAGTTTAAATATATAATGAGGCAAGATTGTGACAAAATCTATAGAAAACCTTTGCTTTTAAAAATAATTTGAATTCAAAAGCAAATGGTTTATCTGTCTAAATTAAATTTATATACAGTTTTACAAAGTTTGATATACGAGTATTGTAAGAGTTGCGACTCTCATCCCTGAGGTCGTAGGTTCGATCCCCGGCTGTGCACCAATAGACTTACTTTCTATGTGCCGATTTAACATTTGCTCGAACGGTGAAGAAAAACTTCGTGAGGAAACCGGCTTGCCTTAGACTTAAAAAGTCGACGGCGTGTGGCAGGCATAGGCGGCTGATCATCTACTTGCCTATTAGATTAACAAATGATCATGAAACAGATTCAGAAATCTAAAGCCCAGACCTAAAAAGGTTGTAGCGCTACTGATTTATTTATTTTATGTTTGCGGTAAAAGCGAATGATGCAGGAACACTGACTCCATTGAATACCTTTTGATGTATTATAATTTTAGTAGAAATTTTGCAGTGTTAAGTCTGTCTTAAAATTACTTTTCTACAGTGTTCTACAACATAGGTATCTGCGCATGATGGCCAACAAGATTTTCAACTATTCGGAGTCCAACTATTTAAACTATTCTGTAACTCATAAAGCAACACTAATTCATCTTTTCTTTTTCAGATCATTATTGCGTGAGAGACGGATCAAAATGGGTGCGTGGACGCGCCGTCGTGTTAGTGTATAGTGTAGTGTAAGTGTCAGTGATGTGAAGTGATAATGTCTGAGGAGCGATCGCGGCGGTTGTCACAAATCTTTGACCCGCTGTCCAGGTTCACTGATCATGCTGTGCCGGGCTCTTCCAGCACTCCAAATAGCCCGAGGTTGTTGCCAAGACGGCAGAGAGATGGACCGCCACCTCCACCGAGGTAGTTTTTTAAATATGTTTCTCAAATAATTCCTAAATTAAATATGTATTTATTAAAACTTCTTTACATTAAAAGTACACATAACATAAATTATTAGGGATGCAACAGCGGTCTTATTCCTTACAAGCGATATCTTTCAGGCAACCTTAGTAATTAAAAAGAAATATCAAGGATAAAGTGCAAGAAGTGCATAACTAAATTAACACAAATTTAATCACTTGTAACAAAAAAATATGCAACTAAAATCTAAAATAAAACACACCTTATATCTGACTTCTATTTCAGAAATTTAGTAGTGACAGATAATACTCTTGTATAGAAAAATATATAAAAGTAACATTGGAATAAAATAATTGTTATTAATTATAACAATCAAATATACAGTATATACAATTTTCTTAACCTACAAAATAATTGTGGCAATGTTCCTTTAATTACTTATGAAAATTGCGATTACTTGTTAAATTATAAGAAATAACTAACAATTAATACTCACCCAACGATGTCATCCGACACAATATTTAGTAAATACAGTTTTATTTGTCAATTAGTCAAGTATTGTACATATTTACCTATAAGCCTATTCAGTTAAATTTAATAATACAGTACTATATTCCCAAAGAATTATTAAAAATATGTTTGCTTAACTTTTAAATTAATCTTTAATTACCAGCAATATCGTTTAAAGTTCCCGTTCGACGCGCGTATTACAATTCTTTACTATCAATATAACACACCCCAATGTATTCAATATCCTAACTATATGTAAGGAACATATAGGATATACCCGCGTCCTAAATTACGCTCCTGTTTGATTGAATATTTAAATCATATAAAAAGTGATAAATTATTGAGATTTTATTATCAGATTGAATTGCACATTTGTCGGAACACTGAGCGGAGTTATTGGATATTAATTATTAATTGCATGAGCTAATTAAGGGCACTTTATTATTCATGAGTGGAGATTATCGTTGAGCCTCGTGAACAAAATGGTTCTTAATTACAAAGATTGAAAGAATTGGTAAACATATTTTTGATGTCGGGCGAAAACGAGTAATAAAAATAGTTTTGATAGTTCTTGAATTTGCGTCGAACACTTAATAAAAATTAAATTAATTATGTTTTTTTTGTATTTTTCAATTATGATGATACTTAGGGTCTGTTTCACAATGTATGGATAAAGTACCAAATAGCTATGCAACACATAAATTATTTGGAAGATAAATTGTGCTATTTGACATTCATCGGACTCATAACTTATGATGTATTTTATGTGACGAATAGCGCTACCTGACAGTCGTGAAACGCAACAATTGTGTTTATCCTACCAATAAGTAATAAATAGCTAATTTGGAACTTATGTAGAACTTATCCGTACATTGTGAAACTGACCCTTAGTACGTTAATATTATAAATTTTGGTTTATAAAATGTAATACATGTTTATAAAGCGTGTCTACTTGAAATACGCTCGCCAAAACAAAGCGCCACTAGCAAATGTCGATTCTAACATTTTTCAGTGACTTCCGTCACGTGCTGCTTCTCTCCAGATGTGTTGGTGGTTTCACGTCCTTTACGACGTATACTGTCACTACAAACAATAGCACAGAGTATGTTACAATAGTGCCAATTACTTTTTATATAAAAAAGCAGCAGCGTTCTGTACTAAACAGAAGAGAAGTAGGCCGAATAGCATTCGTGTTGTATGCATAATAGCTCACATAAACTTACATTATCGTACTGACAACACATAAATTAAAATAATAATAGTCCAGTGGCGCTACAACTCTTTATAGTTGACCAAAGCCTCACATTGTATGGGTCATCCGTTTCTTTAGTCATTTCTATTTCATAGAGTCATATAATTCTTATGGGTTCGAGACAAACGGGTTTACTAGCGATGTTTTCCTTTACGTACGTGCAAGTGTTAAATGCACACATAGACATAAAGTCCATTGGTGCACAGCAGGGGATCGAACCTATGACTTCAGGGATGAGAGGAGCCCTTACAGCTTCTAATATATTATAAGCCCATCGTCAAATTATATACAAAGACCATTTAAAACTCAAAAAGGAGATGGTCTTAATATCGTATATTTTGGTACACAATTCGCATCCAAGCCATTTTTAACAATTAGAACTAGGGCGCAGCTTCCTCACTTTACCAGGAACACATTAAAGTAAATCGAGATCACAAATCAAAGAAAACTATGACTTCCTGGCTGACGGCTTGTGTAAGTATACTAAATTTTATCAATATCACTTTAGTTCTTAATCGGGAAAGCGGAAGAAAATCTTAATGCGCAAAGTGGAATATGGTAATCGTTATAATCATATTGTGAATAAAAATATCAGCGATGTAGCTGGGGCGTATTTCGCGAGACGCGTAACACACCATTCGTGAACGTTTATTGTAATTAATATAATGTATTTTAATTTATTTAAAAGATAGATAAAGCCCCTGGTGTGTCCATGGCAGAGTAGTGTTATTATTAATAAAAATAAAAAAATCGTTCTAATTTATTATATTTATGACACAACTAGAATACAGTGTATCCGGTTTTGATTACACTTAATAAAACGTTGCTGTATATTTGATTTTAAAATCATCAAAATTAATTCGATTGATCGATCTTTTTCGTCTTAAAATTTCCTTATTGAAGCATCTGTTATGCCTATACCTAACCTTGCGATTGTGCTTACGAATTAATACAGCTATATATTTATAATATATTATTATAACTTAAATATACAACAAAACACAGACAACTGTTGTGTGTGATTGTCAAGTTATTTTTTACCTTTACTTAATGATAAATGTAGCCTAATCTATCCATGCAACCAATTTAGAAGAGTTTTTTCAAGAAACAAAAGATTCTACACTATATTTTGTTCGCACGGTCTATATAAGGTATTTAAAATGATTTAATTGTAAGAAATGTTCTAACCTAATAGAAAAAAATTGCGTGGCAAAGTTAGTGATCCATGATATAAAAATCTTCCCACCAACGGAACATAAAATTGCTACTCGAAGCACTTGCTGAGTGAATGACCTGAGTAATTAGAATCGCAAATTGATTATGATTCGCTCTTATTCAGAGATTCGTTGAAGTTTTTATTTAATACTTCAAATAGATTTTTTTTAAATATTTCTACCATAGAATATTCGTTAGTACAAATTAAAAACAATATTCTAACTGTGTATATATATCTAAGTTATTCCTTTCAAATGGGGATTAGACTTTTTCTATAATTAAACAAATAAAACCAACGCGGGATTGATTACCCAGATGTTGACAGGTCACGGTCGATTCTTGTCGTATCTTTACAGGTTCAGGGTTAGACAAGTGCTGTTTGTTCTTGTAGCAATACAGTTGAAGAAACGGTATTACGTGTCCTGACCGACTGTCCCATGTATGGATGCGAAAGATATAACACCTAACAAGCTATGGGCATGAAAGTAAGAGAGACGAACTTAGAGGCATATTTCTGGAATTTGCTGTAGATACAAAAAGTTGTTAAAAAAAGCAAGTAGTGCTTAATCATCCGGGTTACCAATACCATTTACTTAAGTTTTATTACCTCCGACGACAACATAGTCGGGGTATTGGCTAGAACATAGATCTTAAAAAACAAACAATGTATTGAGCTAGCTATAAAGTCCTTAATATATAGAGGATCACGAAACATACATAGTTTTATTGAAGTACCTAAATTGTTAAAATTTAACGCATTTCTAGAATAATGTACATAAAATAAAATAATAGTTTATTAGTGTTAATAATGTTAAAAAAACATCTTTAAAAACCAAATACATTGTTAATAATTTATTTATTTAATAAAACATGGTTTTCTGTTAAATACAAGGAATACAATAACATAAGTATTTTTCTTATGTTTATAATTTACCATAAGTTGTTCTTATTTTTAAATATTTTGTTCTCTAAAAGTTTTTTTTATGTCATCGGAGGCAAACGGGCAGGAGACTCACCTGATGTTAAGTTTTGCCCATGGACACTCACATTGCCAGAAGGCTCGCATCGTGCGTTGCCGGCCTTTCAAGAATTGGTACGCTCTTTTCTTGAAAGACCCTAAGTTGAATTGGTTCGGAAATACTTCAGTGGGCAGCTGGTTCCACATAATGTTGGGCAGCCAAACTGCCTTAGAAAACGGTCAATTGTGGAACGACGGACGTCGAGGTGATGCTTAGGAATAAATCAATAAATTTCCTTTTCTAGACCCTTTGCCCACTCCTCTCGTATGGATCCATTGGAGTACGAGTTGGCGGCTGCCGATGAATCTGCCAACTGGCAGGAGAGATGTCTGGAGTTACAATTGGAGTTACACAGGAGTAAGCACCAGGCGACGCGGGTTCGAGATATGTTACGAGATAAGGTAGGGTAAACATAGTATAACTATATAATATATAAACGTTGTTTTGTCATGTATATTATTTCTAGGAAACATTTTTTTAGTTCAATAAAAATAACTATCTACAATAATAAAAAATAGGGGTGGATCGAAGCGGAGTGAAAATTAGGGGTTAAATGAATTTTTTTTGCGTTTTTAAATCGAACCAAAACAATTTAAAAAAATAAAAATTGGGGTGGACACCCCTTATCACTTAGGGGTTTGAAAGATATATAGTAGGCGATTCTCAGACTTACTGAATATGTATAAAAAATTTCATAAAAATTGGTAGAGCCGTTTCGGAAGAGTATGAAAACGAACATTGTGATTTAAGAATTGTATATTTTAAGATATATGATATATGAGAATATTATTATTTATTCCATAGTCTTATCACCTATCCGGGATATATGTTTCGTTGAATGATTATTAAACTTACCTTTATTAATATGTCTGAAGACTTGAAACATTTATTTAAATTTATAAGACCATACTTACTCAAGGGTTAAAACAGGTTAATTGTTGACTTGAGCGAGTTAATATAAAGTTACTCCGACTTCAGTGGACTTTCTTAGGTACTCATATTAAATGTATTCAAGTGGAAACTGGTGAGATAAAAATGCTAAATCACGTGTACGAATTTTCGGCTTGAGTTTCAGATTCAGAAATGAGATTTAGGGCTAAATCTGAACGACAAAAAGGTACTGGATTTTGACATATGAGAGAGAGTTCGCGCTAAGTCCCGTCTCACCCTTTAGCCGTTAAGTTTATGCGGACTAACACCAACTAAATCGCAAAATTATTGTTCAAATAGTGTCATCAAATTTGAGTTTTATCGCACATATAAATGATGATTTTTTTTTTAAATATTTACAAAATTGTATAAGTAATTGTTAACTCTGTATCTGAGTATGAGTACCTACCGTTAGCTATAATTTCTATAAAGATAGCAATAATATATAATAGATGACATATTAACTTAATGTATAGATCGCAAGTTGGATAAGACATATACATAGACATAACATTTATTACTTACGAAAACGCACACACAAAATAACAATAATCAAAGAAAAAAAATAAAAATATAATGAGAGATATTAAAAAATATATTTTTTTTTCCTTTTCCCACTCGGTTCGTTTCAAGTGTGTAATGCGTGTGTGCTGTGGTTGTAATGGGCCCTGGCTCAGCATTATGCTCGGTAGCAGAATGTTCCTCAGCGCTGGTCATTCTGCCAGAGACCACAGCAGCTAGTTTGCGCCTCAGACGGAAAAATCGAAAGAAAAGCTATGTAAACTTAGTAGAAAAAAAATAATATAAGTAAAAGTAACGTTCAAAATTATGATTCGTTTAATCCAGTAAACTTATTTTTTTAATCGTTAACGGATTTACAATGCAAATATGCCTAAAAGTGAAGGCTTAGTGAACTTTTAATTGAGGAGTTGAAAACGTTTGCATAAAGTTTAATGATTGTCAACATGGACTCGACGGCTTACGGCCAATCGTTAGGATTGTATTATTTATACTCCATTTAAACTCTAATTAAAACTTAAGATTTGAATACAAGAGCCAATTAACTTGACATCTCTGTGTACTAACAGAAAATCTTATATATTATAGCATGACCAAATTATTACAGCATAAAGCTCATTTAAAGAAATAACTTTTTAACCGGATTAAAGTTATGTATTATTATAAATTTACAATTATTTAACATAATTTTAAATTTATCCGACGCGTGCTTTACAGTGTGCGTGGTCACGGTGACTGAAGACAAAAGGTGTTGGATGTCAAAAAGTATCACAGCTGTAGAGAAAGTAGCATTATCCGTATTTATTTCCCCGGAGTTGGTATCGACTAAAAGATGGAGGGTTACCAACCGAGTCCAGTACCAGATAATGCAACTTTCTCTACAGCTGTGATACTTTTTGACATCCAACACCTTTTGTCTTCAGTCACCGTGACCACGCACACTATAAAGCACGCGTCGGATAAATTTAAAATTATGTTAAATAATTGTAAATTTATAATAATACATAACTTTAATCCGGTTAAAAGTTTTTTCTTTAAATGTGTAAAGGTTATGTCAATAAAAGACAATACTATAAAGCTCATTAATACATTTCTGTGCATAATAGGTAATTATTAGAAACAAATATGATAGGATATCTAATAGATACGGGAGCTGTAATAAGGATATACTGACAAGGATACGAAAGGGCAGGCTCTGTAGAAAGAATTAATATGCACACCGTTGTTCAGTACAAGGCAACGGTGGATGGTGAAGTCGGGTTGTGTATGTCTTGTTGTAATTGATTACGCACAAACCATCCCTTGTTATAACTACCTGGACCAAACCTAGGATGTACTAGAGAAGGGACGAGTCAAAAGTACCCATAGCCGACGGACATGGCAAGCAAGAGATGTATGTCAGGACTGTATCAAGTGGAGCTCCGTTGTCTCTGTCTGATAAAATTGAGCTCTTTGGTTTTTAATCTTATGCACAAAGGGAAATGATTGTGAAATTATCAATGTTTTGTACTTTGTTATCATACCAATAATTTAAATTAATGTATGTTTTAACTAACTCAATACAAAACCCATAAAGGAGGCTTACGATTCGTCCTGTTCTTTTTTATACCGTCTTACACTGTCGTCTTTTTTATAAACACTTCAGATACCTAGTACTAAGGAATTGAAATAAAAGTTACCTTAAACAAATCGCGGCTTCGCACGTGTAACACAGACTAACCATATGACAGAGATTAGCTAACCACAGTATTTCAACATGCAAAAAGTTACACTTTTAATTGCTATCCTCCTTAATTTTTGATGTCGGCTAAAAACAAGATTCACTGTATATATTTCCATTAAAACATTTTAAACATAATGTGTTATTTCCGAACATTGATGGTTCTTATCATAGTCAGATGTTGGACTATCTTATAAATGGATATATCACATAGCCCTATGTGGCCGAATAAATAAAATAAAAATAAATTAGCGCATACAACCTTTTTAGGTCTAAGCCGCAGAAAAACAAGTCAAATCATCTCTCAGTCTTCTCAAACTTGTCACAAATATATCCAATTCTGGTGCAGAACTGAGGAAACGGTTAAACAGGGAGATCAGCGGAATCGGTGACTGCTGGCGAAGTACAGTGAGCTTCACTCAGACAGCAGGGCATGCCTTCGGGATCTGAAATACTTTTCAGGCTTATGAGCCTAAGCAATTCCGGAAGAAGGCCCATGCAGTCTGTTCTACCCCTCAAAACATTAAGTGCAAAGTATATTGCCGATTGCTCTCTCAATAGTTCAAGTAATTCATACAAGTACAAGAAGGAGTAAAAGTAATATTTACTTTATATAGTAATCACAATTGACTATTTCCTCTACAACTCAAGCTAAATTTACACATTGGCAATCCTGGGCAATATAAATATGATACAAAATATTTGATCTGTCAGCTCTGATTAATTTTAGTCTATGCAAATCTCAATAGGGTGATACATCTTGTATCGGCGCTTGCAGCGTCAATAAATCAATCCGCCCCAAATAGTTGTAGTAAAACAAATATTTTAGCCCTAACGAAATTATCGTACACATATTACACGTCACTTATGATTTACGGATAGTATTTCTTATTCATATCCCATGACTATGTATATCTTGCCAGTACAGAAAATGTTATCATGTTTATTCGTTGTTGTATGTATTTGATATGGTTCTTGCTATTCTATGACAATAATCTATAAAGAATGCAAGAAATAATTACTGTAGACACGCTGGCCCCTTCCCATCTACATGGAACCAACAACAGAGCTGGTGCGGCTTGACAAGCGGCTGAAAAAGCTAAAGCATGCTAAGACAGGGGTCTAGGTTCAGAATATGATTTTGTCCCATTCGGTGTCGAGACCCTTGGTCCGTGGGGTCCTAGCGCTTTAAGGCTTTTTAAAGAAATATCAAAAAGGTTAGTCGACTTCACAGGAGACTGAAGATCTGGCAGCTACCTCGGACAAAGAATTAGTCTAGCTATTCAAAGGGGGAAAGCTGCCAGTATCTTCGGAACCTTGCCTAAAGGGACTCCTTTTAATAATATATTTTAGTTATTATATGTTAAGGTTAGTTATTTATTTATTAATAAAGTATATTTTATTTAGGATTAATTGCTGTTCTATTTAGCATTTGTTTAAATATGCAAACATTTTTGTTTTTATTTTAAAATAATGAGAAACTAGGTCAGAAAGGTTTGCAGTGTCCTTGAAATTCGGAAAATTTTAACCTTTTTTTAAAAAGATATACTTCTAACGCTTTACTATAATATCATTATATTCAAACTCATCATCATATAAATATTACAAAAACACAAAAGAACTAATTTCACCAAGTTATCGAATCCGCCCATTTTTAGGGCCCTACGAAAGCACAACAACGTCCTTGCTACGATTACGAAATCGCTCACGCCCTCTACGCATAATGCTACAAAGCTACGAAGTACAGTGCAATACAAAACTGACAAAAATGAAAAACATGACGTCACGTCCTCTCAAGGGGAGGAATCGTGTCGGAATTTTTAATTCAATTATGATAGCGATCTTGTTTAATGACCGGTCTACGCGTTTTAATGGCGTTCTCTTCACTCTTGAATTATGAAAAAAAAACTTGGGCCTTCACAGGTTTTATATTTCGTTATGAATTTAACAAAAATAATAGTTTTTCTGTTATAGAAATTTACCCTTAAACCTATACAAACTCGTATTGAAAGGTATATTATGTAATATTGTAATATGAGTAATTTTATCAATGGTGGCCTATCATCGTATCATCGTAGGTTCGATTCCCGGGTGTACACCAATGGACTTTCTTTCTATGTGCGCATTTAACATTAGCTTGAACGGTGAAGGGAAACATCGTGAGGAAACCGGCTTGCGAACCCAAAAAGTCTACGATGTATGTCAGGTGCACTGATCACCTATTTGCCTATTAGATTTATC